GCAGGGATGTAGTATTTGAAGAAGGGAAAGGATGGAATGATCCATCAGATCAAGAAGAAAACTCTATACAGATTCTGGAAGATGATCAAGTATAAAGAAATGGAAATACAAGTGAAGCAAATCTTGGCCTATACTCTCCAACAACAAATACTCTAACTGCTCCTAATACCTCTCAAACCATAGAAACTCCAAATCCTCATGAGTCTTCTATTGAAAGCCCTCCAAAAGAGGATATAAAAGTTTGAGGGACATCTACAATAATCCAAGAATCTTGGAGTTTAATGACAATGCAGACTTTGTGCTATTTTCTGATGCATCCCCAGTGTCATTTGAGGAAGCCTACCAAGATGTAAAATGGAGAGATGCCATGGACAAAGAAATAGAGGCCATTATAAGAAATGACATTTGGGAACTAGTAAACCACCCAAGTGGTCATAAATCCATTGACGTTAAGTAGATTCTGAAAACAAAGCTAAATGAGAAAGGTGCGGTGGACAGGTATAAGGCAAGATTGGTGGTAAAGGGGTACTAACAGAAATATGGTATTGATTATCAGGAGGTTTTTGCTCCTGTCATAAGATTATAAACTGTTAGATTGGTATTAGCATTGGCTTCATAAAATAAATGGAAGGTGCTTTAAATGAATGTAAAATCAACCTTCCTTGAGGGCTATTTGGAGGAGGATGTCTACATAGATCAACCTGAGGGCAAGGAGAGGAATTTAAAGTGAGTCATTTGAAGAAAGCTTTATATGGCTTGAAGCAAGTACCAAGGGCTTGGTACAGTATGATTGAGAACTATTTTTGACAAATGGCTTCAACAAATGTTTACAAGAACATGTACACTCTCTTCATTTAGAAGTTTGATCAAGGTATGATTCTCATAGTGTGTATATATGTAGATGACTTAGTTTTCACAGGCAACTCAGAGAAACCAATAGAAGACTTCAAAGAAAGAATGAAGAATGAATTTGATATGACTGATATGGGTCTAGTACACTATTTCTTGGGAATTGAGGTGAAACAAGATGAAGAAGGTGTTAAGATATCTCAACAAAGGTATGCTCAAAATTTGTTAGATAAACTCAATATGGGACAGGTTGTTCCTTCTAACACACCTATGGAATTTGGGCTTAAACTTTACAAAGATAGCAAAGAAGAGCATGTAGATGCTTAGTCTATACAGAAGCACGGTAGGCAGTCTAATGTCCAGATATTGTATTCTCTATTAGTATCATAAGCAGATACATGGAGTCTCCTAAAAGAAGCCACTGGGAAGCAGGGAAGAGGATTCTCAAGTATGTCAAAGGGACTTTGGATCATGACATTGTCTATTCAAAGACAGAAAACTTCAAACTCATTGGTTACAGCGATAATGAATTTGGTGGCAATATGGATGATGGGAAAAGCTGTTGGGACTTCCGCCTCATCGTTCCCTCGAGCCTCTCAAATCCGTGTTTCTTAAACCTAACGCTCCTGTAGCAATGCAGGAGCATCCCACATTGGTGAGGCTAGGGGGATTCGTTTTCCTTATAAGGAAGGGGGATCTTACTCCTACCAGTGACGCGTTTTAAAGCCGTGAGGGGTTGTTGCTGGGAGGGGCGGCCCAAAGCGGACAATATCATGTGGGCGGTTCCCTAGTATCGGTCCAACAATTGGTATCAGAGCTAGGGACGCACCAATGTGGGGGGGGGATGTTGGGACTTCCGCCTCATCGTTCCCTCGAGCCGGTCAAATCCGCGTTTCTTAAACCCAACGCTCCTGTAGCAATGCAGGAGCATCCCACATTGGTGAGGCTAGTGGGATTCGTCTTTCTTATAAGGAAGGGGGGATCTTACTCCTACCAGTGACGCGTTTTAAAGCCGTGAGGGGTTGTTGCTGGGAGGGGCAGCCCAAAGCGGACAATATCATGTGGGCGGTTCCCTAGTATCAGTCCAACAAAAGCACTGTTGGATATGTGTTTAACTTGGGAAGTGGAGCAGTGTCTTGGTAGTCAAAGAAGAAAAATGTGGTAGCTTTGTCTTCTATTGAGGCAGAGTATATGTCTCTTTTTGTTGCAGGCTGTCAAGCTCTTTAGCTAAGAGCAATATTAGAGGAATTAGAGCATACTCAAAAGGAGCCAACTACAGTATTATGTGACAACAGATATGCCATTGCTCTTATTAAAAATTTTGTGTTCAATGGAAAGAGCAAGCATATCAGATTAAATTCCATTTTATAAGGGAGTTGGTATCAAATGTAGATGTCAAAATAGAGTTTTGTGGATCAAAAGATCAACTTGCATATTGCCTCACAAAGGCTCTACAATTTGGCAATTTCAAGAGCATGAAGGATAACTTGATGGTTAAACCATTCCTAACTTAAGAGGGTGTGTTAAAATTAAGCTAGTTATGGTTACGATTTGGTAGTTAAGTTAGTTGACCGTTAGGACATCTAACGGCTAGTTTGTTAGTTAAGGTTTGACAGTTATTTAACTGTCAAACCCTTGCGTATGGTTGTGTCTGTTGGTCAACGGTTGCAACCCTTGGCTATGTATTTATTTCTCTTGCTTGTGTATTGTAAAGATAATGTTCAATCAATAAGAAAACAGATTATATGATGTATTAATTCCAACAATTTCAGCAGCCTCAAGCGTATCATTTGATACCTCAAGGGCACTCTCGATCACGACCTACATCTTTATCCATATGTCCCAACTAGACTCATCTCTTACACAAACACCGGGGGAATGCCCCGACGCACGAAAATCTACATCTAGATATTGTGTCTTTTTGGGAGATAATTTGATATCTTGGTTGATGAAATGGCAAGCCACACTTTCCTGATCAAGTGCTAAAGCCGAATACCGGGGCGTTAAATGTCATTGTCGAAACATGTTGGCTCCAAAACCTCCTTCTTGAACTTTGTTGTCCACCCAAAAAGGCAACCCTCGTTTATTGTGACAAAGCGTCCACCATCTATCTGCAACCCGGTTCAACACTAATGAACCAAACATATCGAAATGGCCGATATCCATCTCGTTCTTGAAAACGTTGCCTTGGGCGATGTTTGAGTTCTCCATGTCCCCTCATCCTATCATACGCCGTATCTTCGCAAAGGGACTACCAAGACAACTATTCCTTGACTTCATATCTGATCTAAACGTCCGACCTCCTCCTGCTCTCAAACTGCGGGACTGTGATAGAGTATCCATCAAGATCATCTTCATTATTTAAAATATAGATATTTTTATAGATATAGTTTGTGTAACTTGGAAACCAAATATTCTCCTAGTTGTTAGGTTTGTAATCATCTATAATTCTATATAATTGTGTTGAATGAGAAGGCGCCAGGAGATTCATTCCAAATAACAAGATTGTTGACAATATCCTTCTGATCCCAAAATCACTTGGACTTTAGAATCAAAATAATTGATAGATCGAGAGGGTGGTTGTCGTTTCCATGAAGAGTTGTTCACATCTGATACTATACGGGTGGGCCATGTCACTGGTGATGTATCAAGCTTTAAAAAGTTCCCATATTTCCTTCAAGCTCTCCACGATTCTTGCAATTCTATATTTCCTCAAATCTTGGAAAATTTTCAACTTAAGTTTCACCTGCTTGTATTCGATTAAATTACATATTTTCCCAAACATTTTGACCTTTGGAGGGCTGGTCACGTGGGGAGGCCATAAAACATGATTTGAGTTAGCCTTCTAGAATGATAGGAATTGAAAGTTAGTTGCTAAGAACATAATCTGCCATAGGTATGCGAGTTCAGGTCCTGGTGAGTTCAAGTGGTGATGAGCTGAGTTCAGTTATGGCAAGTTCAAGTTCAGGTCGTGATGGTAGATCGATGAAAAGTCAACAGCTTTCCATCGATTTCAACGGTTTACTAGGCAAGATGGATAACAACATTTGAGGGTGAAATGAGATCAATATCAGTGTCTAAAGTCTTGGTTTAATGGCCCACTGTCATTTGAACCAATGTAACAAGCATAGGAATTGATTTTTTATAATGGAATATAAAACCTTCTGGCACTGATTAATGAGGAGATGAACAATAGGTTTATGACAGGATACAGATTCAGGGTAAACATTAAAATAAAATGACAATTAAATTACCTCAAGCTCCATGCCTCCATGTACGCTTTAATTGAAGAAGAACCTTTGAAGGCATCCATGAGAAATCATCTTCTATATTGATGAGAAGAAACTACAATACCCAAAAGGGGAAAACAAGAAACACTATATATATACATATATATATATATATACACACACACACACACACACTTCATATTTAGATTTTTAAGTTTGACAGAACAAACTTTTAAATTGGTCGTTTTGGAAATCAAAAAGTAACTGAATCGAGATCTGAAGAGCATATTTTAATGATCAGTTTAATCATTGATCGAGACATGACCATTTGAACTGTACTTAATATACATAAATAAACCAGATCGACACTTTTTTAGTCCAAATATTCATTCAGAATGTTTGCTTTCGAATCTTTTTCCTTAATATGGTGGTCCTTTTAGAGTTCTATAAGCATGTGAAATGAGTGTGACATGTAAACGTTACATAGGTACACGACGTACTGTGGATATTTGCATACCTTTGCATGTTTTTTTCTTCTCTAACGTACTGACTTAACATATATACATGCAACTTCAAAGGGTCATTTTGTTTCTCCAAAATCAAGTGGAATGTTGTTTTTTTCTAAATAATGTCATATCAAACGCTGTGTATATATATTTATTACGAGTACGATCAAGAAAACGATTAACAAAATTAAGCAGAAAAGATCCTCGATTTATAGAATGATGTGAATAATTCCTACATAAACAATTAAACACACCATGAAGCAATAATTATCTTTAGAAGATTGCTTTTCAACATATTAAAGAGAAATTTTCCATAAACAACTCCAGTTTAACAAGAGATTGATCGGAATAGACATTCTCTCATGGAGATATATATATATATATATATATATATATATATATATGTATATCATCGATGGCTCCCTCAGCTTAGCCCTGCAAAATTCATGCATGCATGTGTAAGCACTTGAAAATTAAGGAAGATGAAGTAGTATTATGCGTAACATTTCTGCTTATTTGAGTTGTACAATATTGTTGCACAAATGATGCTTAACGATACAATCCACAAATTCACAAGAATGTTTTCAGAAAAGGGAGCATAAAGAATGTGCATGAGTACACACACAAAAATAGGAGCTTTTACTTATAAAAGTGTAGATATTCAAGAATTAGGGTTAGGGTTTTAGTTTGTGAAAATACGATAAATAGAACATTACCTGAGTAGGGACCTTCATAATTTAGATAGAGCAAGTATAGCCAGGAGGTGGGGACTTGCCACAAGTAGCAAGCAGCTCAAGAGCAATTGGCAGATAAATATTGAGGTTCAACAGATTGACCTTTAGGGTTGTGCACAAGCAAACTGCAGCTTCTACCTCTGCTAACCCGGCTAGAACCGAGCAGCATTTGTTCTCGGCAGGGTCACCCAATCCAATGTGGATTAATCCTCCTAGAAGGTCCACACAAGCTCCAAGTTTTATGGTGTCAATCGGGCATGTCGCTGGTGGGGTGCCTGGGGCTGAGGCAATTGGAGGGAAGGCAACCGGAGGGATGGCAATTGTGGGGGAGGCGACAGGCGGTGTAGCAAGTGATGGGGAGGCAACAGGTGGGGTGACTATTGGTGGGGAGGCAACCGGTGGGGTTCCGACTGATGGTGTGGGGACTGCCGGGGTGACGATCGGTGGGGAGGCCACCGGTGGTTTGACAACCTGTGCGAAGGAGAGTGGTAGGTAGGTGACGGGTGGTTCAGAGTTGTCACAACTTCCACAATCAAGACGATGAGCTGCGGACGAAACCAAGAAGACTGAAACAAAAAAGAGGGCAGAAAGTTTCTTAGAGGAGGACTCCATTATATTTTGTGATGGATGGATCTCGACTCTCGAGTGAAGTGATGCATGTTCAAGCATAAGGGGTTACATATATATATATATATAGGAAGAGTGCATGGAGTTTAATTTTTTATAATTATAATTAATTGGATTGAAATAGATAGGGTCGTAAATGCATGTATATTTAGGAAAAGAACAAGAAGTTGAAATATAGATGAGCAACAGAAGAGATAGGACACATGAACGTGTTTCGTCCATGTTGTTTGTAAGTCGACACCCAAATAATTCTTTCACTGTACATCTAATAAGTTTGAATTTTCTCTATGTAAATTCGTTAATTACCTGTGCAAAATAGATTGTAGTTTTGTAATTAAATAACACATATATTCATCATTCTTCATATCTATCGTTAAGTATTCTTTTAGAAAAAGCAAATTGGGTTGGATCAAAAAAAACATTTTCAACTCTGAATATAGAACTTTTAGGACAATTAATACTGTTTGTAAATTTGTAATTATTTGTTATACAAATTGAAACAACAATAATATGATGGCTTAATTCTAGTGTTAGTATCTACTATGAGGTATAATGCGACGATAAGGTCAAATCTTAAGTAATAAGAGGCATGCACGGTGAGGTCACTGATCAAACAACATTTTTCAAAACATGACTTATGATGTCAAAATCTATCCATATCTCTCTCTCTCTCTTTCTATATATATATATATGATCATGTGAGAGTCAGAGATATATATACATATATATATATATATGAGAACAGGGATAAGGCATATATTCATTGATGCAAATACATTGAATGAACATCAATAAGTATATGCATCAATGTATATATACTTGCATACGATATTTTTATAGTGTATATATGTATCGATGAACATACACATTCTTAATCTAACTCTTATTTTTAACTTATATATATATATATATATATATATATATATATATATAAGAACCTCAAAAAAATAAAAAATCATGAGAATATTATTTCACCTTGTAAACAAATTCATATAAAACTTATAATGATATTTAACATTGTGAAATAAAAAGTATACATAAAAAATTTAATTGTGAAACAAAAAATATGTGTAAAAAAAGTTTTACATTATGAAACAAATATATATGAAATAACACTTTAAATCCTAATATTAAATGGAGAAAAAAATCATATAAAATAATAAATTGAGATTCTTATCGATAGCTTTAACATTTAGGTGGATCTAGAGGATTTGCCTTGGGTCAAATCCTATGGAAATCGCTAAAAAGGTTGAAAACCCCGTAAAACCGTATTTTAAAGTATTATTTCATATGTTTTTTTATATAATGTTAAAATTTAAGGTATTATTTTACAAATATTTATTTCATTAACATATTTATTTTAAACTTATTTTGTTTTGTTTCACTATGTAAACCAAAAAAATCACATGCATTTTCTATTATAATACGCATATGTGAGACAATTTTTAAACCTTAAATAATCATAGTTTTTTTATGATAAAATAATGTAAAAACAATGATCAATATATATATATATATATATATATATAACAATAAATCAATATATATATATATATAAGGTTGGGTTCATGTGAGATCAGTCTGTTTTCGTGAGACCCGTGAGACCATAATTTTACACTTGAAACTTTACAGCAAAATGTTGTGAAAGTAAAAGATTTTCGAACCTTCACAACAAAAATATCGTGAAGGTTACCTTCACAGTGTTTCACTGTGAAGTTTCACGTGTAAAAAGGTGATCTCATAGGTCTCATGAAAACAGACTGGTCTTACATAATCACAAATCTCTCTCTATGTATATATATAACTCCGTCTATAGAATTTGTTAGATCGTCAACCCTTACTTTAAATATATTATAACTACATTAATTAGAACACATTTTATGGGTTGCAGAAACCCATTTTTATAATAACTAAAGTTATATATTTCATTCAACGTTTGTTAAGCAATAATAATGTTAATAGAAGTAGCTGAACCAAAACCACAAATCTACTACATGTGAATATCAGTATTTTAGTTTGACCTCTCACAAAGTCAACTATTGTGTCTCATTCTTATTTTTAATTGATATAGTTGAAGATACACTTGTAGAAATGCTTTAAAGTTGAGTAAAACTATATAGTACTTGTATTGTAGGTGAAAATGCTTGATTAAGCTAGCTTATCCGGGTAAGCGTTTACCAAGTAACATTACCTCACCGGATGAATATAGTWAGGACCAAGAATCTTACCCGGTAAGAATGAGACAAGGACCAAGAGTCTTATCCGGTAAGTGAGGGTGACGACTCTTACCACGGTAAGCGCTTACCGGGTGACTTGTTGTATACTATGTCGTTTTGGTGAACTAAAATCTTACGCGGTAAGTACATAATAGTGTTAAATTTTATCGGTAAGCTATTACCGGGTAAGTGTTTGATAAACGGCCCCTAAATCTGTTTCCTTCCTGCACTTTAACCATTCTCTCTTTCCTTTTGAAATTTCTGAGGACTCTGCTTTCAGGAAATTAAAGGAAATAATAATAATTTCTTGATTTAAAGTCAACAATAATACAAGTAACAAGTTAAATCATCTACAGAGCCATAAACCCAATTAATGTACTTAACACTGTTCCAAATAAGTTCAAAAACATCAAGAATGTAGGGAATTTGGGTTTTGTGGCTAAGATCACTTGGATGATCTTTTGGATCGTGTATCGGTAGCACTTTTCAAATACTATTTTTCAACCCTTTATGCCTTAGGTTTCACAAAATCTATATTGGGATAATCCAAATTGGCACTCATGTCTCAAGGCACAAAACTCGAGTATATATAGATTAGATTAACCAGTTTATATATTTATAAGAGAGATCGATGGTTACGAGGTGGTTAAACAATTAATAGCTAGTTGGATAACACTTGTAACTACGTGTGGATAAGATTGGCACAGACTAGAAGCTGACTTAGAAGCTCTAAGTTAGAACTCTTCTCAATCAAAAGCTTATCATGTAAACTTAGATATTTTTGAATCCATACTTAGTTTCCAAATCACTAAGTTTCTAACCTTCTGAATTTTATTCAGAATGTCTTGAAACTTAGGATTCTTTAAGTAATCTTTTTCATAAAAGCAGGACTACTGCTACGGGTGCAGCCTCTATGACCCCATAAGAGGGCATAATCTATTGACCTTTGCCTTATGGCAATCTAAAGTGATAGAACAATATTTATGAGTTTGCACTCTCTACTATACACCTTCTAACTTACATTATGTTTGTCTAGCTGGTCCCTAATAAAATCATAATCATACCAAAAATGTTTGATGACACTAAAATCACTACTTGATGAAGGTTAGATCGGTCATTATTCTTTCATTAATAACTAGAGATCGTGTGGTTCACTTTCATTGTGAGCTAGCCATGCGAGCTCCTCATCAACTTGCGTTTTGGCTCACGCTCATCTCACTTGGACAAATTAAGAAAGGTTGTTCGTCAAGTGTTCTACGTACAAAACTCATTTTGTTTCATTTTGAACAACTTTTAATGACTCTCCTTGCTTAGGTTTGGTTCTATCATGCTTGTACATATTATGGCACATATAAACCAACATTCACTTCTTTTGTCCATGAATTTCACTGCATAATTTTTGCTTCCACCTTTTGTTTTTCTAATTTAATTAATTTCCTTTCTCTTCCCTACTATAATTTATTTCTAAACCGAAAGTTGGGATGTTACATTTAGTCAAGGGCAGATCCAGCCTTTAAGCATTGGGGAGAAAGGCTCCAGTAAAAACCAAAAACTTTTGTTAACTAGTTTAAATTTTGTATTTTCACTCTCGTCTTACATGATTTTCTCCAGTCTCATATGGTCATATGCTAGCTTCCCTCCCCCAAGTCCCATCCAACGTGCCCCCACTCCTTTAATTTTCTGTTGTCGTTAGGCTTGACACCACATTAGTTAGGAGTTGTGAAATGCGATTTAAACAATAATTATCTAAATTATGTCTCTAAATTAAATAGAAACAAAAAAAAATCTTACTTAAATTACGTATGAAATTTAAATTATTAAATAATTATTTAAATTTTGTTGGTAATTTAAATAATTTTTAGATATTTTTATTTCTTATAAATTCATCGATAGATCACCGAGAGACCTTTTAAAATCCATTGATTATTTTAATTGTTTTTTATAAATTTAAAAAATACAGACACATACGGATATGTATATTTATATACACATATATCTAGTTTATACGTGTAGATATGTTGTACATACATCCACTATATATATATATATATGTAGTATGTATATATATTGAGTACATACATACAAATACATGCTACATACATGTAGATAAATATTATTTGAAGGAACCATATATTTCTTAGCAAAATGGTTTAGTTTTTCTTAAGTAGGGTGGAAAATCGCATTCAACCATAACGTCCACTTAAGTGTTGAGGATTAAAGACCAAATTCTAGTCCATAGATCGGTATTTTTCCTTTCACAAGTTTGTCTTATCGAAAATAAGAAGTTTTATTTGGATCATATAGAAAAACACCCTTTTACATGTACCTCATGAATACAAATACAATCGACCCCATATATTAAAATACAATTGGTATTTACTTTTATTTTCTTGTACTTTTCCGTTCTATGTTAACCTTCATGTAATATGGCATAAGGTTGTTGACATAAAACAAACTAATATATCAATTATCAATATCTACTAAAAGAAAGACCATGAAATGAGTTGTATCTAGGAACATGTTATGACCAAAATTGATCTTAATTATTCTAAAAGTTTTATCAAAACAATCGGGGCCAAGGATGGAAGATCTGAAGATGTTGCTGTGCTAAAACGACTAAGTCTGGAAGAAGAACAGAGACCCTATGGACTCTGGTTGGTATATGCTTTGGATGACTATCTTCAGAATCTTGAAGGATGGCGCTGATCCCATTTTCGATAATGATTATTTCCTTGTTTATAGGATTTAGTTACCTTATTTATAGGATTC